GGATGGGGGCTTTTAGGGTTTAGGGTATAAGGTTTAGAGGTTGGGGCTTTTAGGGTTTAGGGTTTAGGGATTGGGGCTTTTAGGGTTTGGGGTTTAAGGTTTAGGGGCTGGGGCTTTAGGGTTTAGGGATTGGGGCTTTTAGGGTTTGGGGTTTAAGGTTTAGGGGCTGGGGCTTTAGGGTTCAGGGTTTATGGGGTTTCCAGGGTTTAAGGTTTAAGGTTTTAGGGGTTGGGGCTTTCCGAATCCATGACTTTCTTGAATTTTAGGGTAGAGGGGTTTAGGGGTTTGGGGTCGGTTTTGGGTCTAGGGGTTTATGGTTTAGGGCTTAGGGGTTTAAGCTATTGGGGTTTAAGGCTTGAGTGTAGGGTTTGTGGCTTCCCTAATCCACGAGTGACATCGACAGGGTCAAGGGCTTTGTAGGGCTTTGAAGGATCCCTGCCGGGATGTTTTACAAGGCTGCCACTGCTGAGCTTAATAGGCTTTACATTACCCTGCCAAAACCCACTTACTGTAGGCTGTTATTATAAGCCCTAATATGGGATTCATAGGGGCCCTACAAAAAACTAGGTTCTGGTGACTTAAAATAGAGTCTTATAAGGGTTTTACAGCATCTTGGTCGGGTCCTGGCGGGGTGGTATGCTAGCCCCTCGGCTGGCTTTCGACTTAAGGAACGGGTGACGCAGCAAGTCTAAACGACCATCAGCCAGTCCTAAACTGTGAACCCTTGTAAAACCCGAATCCAAAACAGTAGTCTGGCTGATGACACTAGGGCGTTGAGGTATTGACCTATCATGTGACTCTGTAGCAATACAGCCGGAACAACAAGGGGAAATTTTGGGGTACTCAGTACATCTCGAGTACTACACCGCTCCCCCTCACAGGTGCGAACACACACACACACACACGCACGCACAAACAACACAAAACAACGCAAAGGAAAGCCAGGACCTGCAAATTCTGGGCCCCCCGAGCTCTTCAGCTCTGCGATAAGGTCGTCTCGCTTGCGCTTCGCCACGACCTTGCATGGCTCAGGGCTCTTTCCGGTTTGGGGCATCCGCCCGGTGTAACACAGGGTTTAGGGTACCTCGGTGGATAGTGCTCGGCTAAGTTGCTGGCATCTCCCAGAATATCTGATTGATAAGTACCAGTACCATAATGGAACTCATAATTACAATTATAGTATCATCTACTCCAAAACCCTATGTTCCAATTGATAAGGCCCCTACTATGGAACCCTGTAGAATTCCCAGTCCCATGCTCCAGGATAGGTTGAGTTCCACTTCAAGCCGAAAATGGGGGTTTCCGAAAATAGGGGACCCTAATATAGTACAAAAATAGTAGGATCCTGATTATAAAAACCCCCAAAATAAGGTACCCTAAATTCCGGAAACTCCCAAATGGACCCTGGAATTCGGATGACAATCTTCACTTTGAACCCATGAAGGCTGACACGGGCCGGAGGCCCTTAGGGTTTAGGCCTTACGGTTTAGGGTCTAGGCTTTAGGGTTTAGGGTTTAGGGTTTGGGCCTTACGGTTTAGGGTCTAGGCTTTAGGGTTTAGGGTTAGGATTTAGGGTTTGGGCTTTCCTTGATTGAGCAGAACATCAGTTTGTTGCAGTAGTAAGCCCATGGTCGTCGCTGAACGGCCAACTGCACAACAAACTCCGTTATAGATTACAGGAACCCTGTTCTAGTTCTTGGCTGAATTATTAAGGCCCCTAGATTGAACACTCGGCGTCTGGGGACGGAGCCAGGATTTAGGGTCTATCCATAGGCCCTATAGTAGTTCCTTTTTGGGGTTCATATATACAATCCTATACGGTAACCCCAACAAAGAACTACTATGGGGCCTATGGGTATCCATCATCTTGGGTGGATGGTGTTTCTGTGAAGGAAACAGCGGTTGCTCAGGAAGCCATTCGGATGTGCTTCTCTTGCCGTGTCACGCACATAGAGCTTAACTCTGTTTGGGGCTGATTGATGAAGTCCCACCAAGCTCGAGGCATCGACAACTCAGCCCTAAACCCTAAAGCCTGAACCGTGAAAGTAGGGTATGAACGCCTTCATCATACACACCCCATGTTTTAGCCCAACCTCCGAGCCAAGATCCTAAACACCACAATCCCGAACCCCAAACCCCGAATCGATTGGAGTTAGGATTAGCGGGGCTCTTGGGGATACAGACCCTCTCAAACAGAGAGCCCGAAGTAGGGAAAAGAAGGGTCCCCTTTAAGGGGTCTAGGACTTAAAGGCCTGCAAGCGCAAGGCCAAAACCTTGAATACAAATCCCAAAGACTACACCCCGAGGTGTGGACCAGCTCACCTTTGATCACCATCACGATGAACCTCACCTGCACGCGTTCTCATAGAAACGCCCAAACCCCAATTCTTGGCCTAAACCCTAAACCCTAAACCCTAAACCCCTGAGCCCCCAAACCCCAAACCCCTAAACCCCAAAACCCTAAACCCCTAAACCCTAAACCCCTAAACCCTAAACCCCTGAACCCCTGAACCCTAAACCCTAAAACCCCAGACTGAAGCCCTCTTGGGTCCTTCTTTTTAAGCTTCGGGAGTTTCAACCTGGAGGGGCTCAGGGTGCATAGGGCTCTACGGGGCTCCAGAGGCTTAGGGTTAGGTTTGGAGCCGCAATTCCTTCAGAAACCTGGTGGAAACATTTCTTCAAACCCTTTGGGAACCCTACAACATGCACTAGCAAATTAACGCTTGCTGCGTTTTGGTTGGGCCTGAGCCACCTGGGCCACCAAAGCTTCTGATCTAGCTCTGCAAAGCTGCAAGAGGGTTGACCCCAAAACAAAGGGGCAGGAGCTGTGGGATCTGACGAGTTTGCAGACACGCAGTTCTTCGGGTTCTGGTTTCGGGGGCTCCTAGGTCTCACGGGCTGACTTCGACGTTGCAGTTGCTTTTTGCTCCCGAAACTTCGGAGCTAAACGTTTTGAGCCGAGGTGACCACACTGTGTTCAGTTGTTCCGATCTTCGCGCATTTCAACCGTTGTGAATGAGGTTTGAGCCGGTTTGGGCCATAAAGACTTCGCACTGGGACTGGGCCCAGGAAGGAGTCCTTGAACCTCCTCGAGGTTTGAGCCGGTTTGAGCCGTTTGAGCCACGGAAACCTGAGCCCTAAACCCCAAAATTATAACACCCCCATAAAGATACATATACACGGTTTAAGGTTTAGGGTTTAGGGTTTAGGGTTTAGGGTTTAGGGTTTAGGGTTTGGGTTTAGGGTTTAGGGTTTAGGGTTTAGGCTTTAGTACACTGCTTGATGCCGGTAAGCACATTCAAACTTGCTGGGTGAACATTCGGGTCCCGAGGGTTTACTACTCAGAGCAGGAGGCTCGAAGTAGGCTCAAAGTGAGTGGACCTAAATACCAGGCTTGTCGCTTCAGGTTCGGGGATTGACGGTGCCTTCGGTTTGACATCTGATTCCAGGCATTTCGGTACTGCATTACTACATCACACGAAGTGAGAAAAGTAGCAAACGGCGGCCTGTCATTTCACTCCATCCACACTTGCACGACGTCTGAGTCTCGGCTGCTCTGCTCTGTACACTCAGTCCATATCGCAAAAATTGCTGGTCTGCCTCCGGAAAACAGGTGCTTTGCGCTTCTTTCCACGACCATCGTCACAATCATCCTCAAGCATCGGCTGCACGGACACGGAGGGACTGCTGCCTGCACCGTGCTCCAAGTTCCAACTGCTGGCCCTGCGCATCAACTTGAAAGCTCTATCATTCAGCGAACGTGTGCTCTGCATGTGGCTGAAGGCATACAGCAACACGGCCATCGCAGTTGGGATGTGCATGCTGTTTCCGATGAACGTCCTTGCGTGATGAGGCTGGCACTTTGCTGATTTGATCGTTTCAAGGATGTCCGAAGGGTACCCTGAAGTGGGCAAGGTTCCCCAACCCTGCACAGCGAAGATCTCGTTCAACGTCATGAGCTTGCCCGAGCTGTGCTCCACCAAAGTGCCATGTGTCAAAAGACATGGCACAGTCGGACCTGCTACGGAGGATCCCTTCACAGGGTGCTGCTCCCAATCACTGAAAAAGGGCACCTGCTTGGACGGGTCAGCCGGCTGGGCTTGCTTCGCGAACTCCACTTCGTACAACAACCCGTGCTGCTTTGAGGAAGGGCACACCGAACTCTGGATGACACGCATACGATCGCTTCGGCTTGCAGGCTCACTTGCAAGCGAGGACGAAGACAAGTGAACTCCACGCTTAGACATCTTGGCCTCCATATCGGCACGCCTGGAAGTCCATGAGTCTAGCATGTAAACATCACCACGCACCCCGCAAGCACTGCCAAATATCTGCAAAAATCTCTGACTCTCGCTCACCGCATGCTGCCAAGCAATGCGTAGCTTGTTGAATCCGAGCACGTAGAGACGAGGTCGGTGGCAAGGGAAGCCGAGGTCCTGACCCGAGACATCTCTACGTCAGTAGTCAGTAGTGTGATTGCTGGGTGATGTGCACTGCAGGAACTTGAAATGGTCATAAGTTATAAGCAATGACTCGCGCACAAACAACAATAGTAGCGTTTTCCCGCAAAGCTCGACAGGCTCAGCATCCGGTTTGTCGTAGAGAATCGCACCCAACTGCGACGAGCAGTTCCGTTCGGATTTCCTACTGCACTGCTCCGACAACACGTGTTTGAAGTTGCAACAAGACTCATCGGCAAGGTGGCAAAAGAAGAGTTCTCACCTCGTCAGAGTCACAACCCTACATCTGTCGTCAGCTCGAGGCTCGGGGGGTTTCCGCGATGACCCACAGGCTGCAGAGGCTGAAGAAAATGGCTTACATCTTGGAGCATTTCCAGGAGAATTTGCTCCCCCCACATGAGCCTGCACAAGCACAGACAGCCTACAGTGCCTACAGCCTACTGATCTACTGAAAAACTGGTCAGGATGAGGCATTCACTCAGGCTTTGCCGTCGGTGTCGGTGCCCCCCTGAGCACTCTGCTTCAGGATCTTGAGCAAGTCCTGGTATCGATCCACAGTTCTGGAGCAACGCTGCAGCAACTGGATCAAGGACTCGTACTCCTTGATTGCTTCGCTGGAGGTCTTCTTGAGGAACACCCCCTTCCGCACACTGACAAGGATTGTCCCGGCCGTGGATATCTCCACGCTGAACCAGCCCATGGGCAAGCTGATCATCTCCCCAGCCTTCTGGCAGTGAAAATACACCTCGACGCCCTGATTGAAGAACTCGAGGAAGCTTTTCATCTCCATCTGCTGCTCCATGATCTCACAGAAGGCCTCTGTTGAAGTCAAAGCCTTGTCATCCTGGATGAATCCTAGCTTGAGGGCAGCAGGAAGCATCGTCGACAAGGGCATGCAAACGTGCAACACATCGCCCAAGCAGGCTGCCTTCAGTGTCTGAGCACCGTTCGCTTGCAGCCCACAAAACTTCATATCGGGCGCATAGCCTGCAATCCAATTGGTTTTGCCAAAAGTCGCTGCTGAAGGCATCTCATCGCAAGCCAGGATGTCCGACTCAGCCACGAAGTGCCGCCACAACTCGTTGCATTGCTCATGGCCGTGCTTGGGCTCGAGGGCAGCGGAGGCACGGCTTTTCTGCTGGTAATCCTGGAGCTGCTTGTACTTGATGGCCCAACTCTGGACGGTCTTCTGCATGCCTGCATCCACGGACCATGCTTCCAAGCACTGGTGCTCCTGGCCAGCGGCGAACCACGGCAACTTGCTCACGTCCATGCCACTTGCATACTTCGGGAAGGGCTTGACCTTGTTCTTGTACTCCTCCGGAACACTGTCCTCCAGGAACTTCTTGAACATGAACTGACAGGCCTTGTACAGCGGCTTGATGTTTGCACCCGCCTTGCTTTCCAGCAAGGCCTTCGCACGCTGCGTGTTGCTCTCCCTGAAAGCATCCAGCTCAGCCTTGCCTTTTTTCTTCTCCTCAGCCTTCTGCTTGCGAGATTCCTCCTTCTCAAGCTGCTGCACATGGGATTTGCAGTCTCGCGAAACTTGAGCAAGGCCCTTCTCGAAAGTCTTCAGGGCCGTTTTCTGGCGCTGAAACATTTCCTTGATGTCATCGAGCTCAAGAACCGTGGAGGCATTCTTGAGGGCCTCAATGTTCGTCCTGACCTCATCGAAGGAGACGAGGTCTTTCTGCATCGCCTCCGGCACTGGAAGCTTGTCTGCGTGGCCTTTGAGGAGGTCAGCAATCACCTTCTGATCCGTGAACCCGTCGATCATCGCCTGCATCGCCTGGTCCGTGCAGTCCTTCGGGTAATTGAGCAGGGCGGCGAAGCAGTAGAGACGATGGTTTAGATGCTGCACAAGAGTCGTCAGCGATTCGTCCTCACATAAAGCAGCACGAAGCTTGAAATGTGTTGGGGGGTATGCTTGCAGTTATTTAGTTAAAAACAGCTACGGTGCAGCTACAGTATGACTCAGTATGTGTGCGCATGTGCACTAATTCGTGTCCTTCGTCTCCGGAAGCTTGCCCTGCGTTTCGATGGCTGTCCTCGCGCACTCACAGAGGGACGTTTTCGAGCTGTTCATCTCCTTCGTGAGCTTGGTCTCCTGCTTCGGCTTTTCCAAAGCCAGGTCCACGGGCTTCTTCGGAGACTCTTGCTTCTCCTCAGCTGCCGCAGGGGCGGCGGCAGTCGAAGATAGTGGCACGCTTGTTGCCGCCGGAGCCGGAACCGTGGAAGTCCCAGTCCCAGCTGGCCCAGCCCCAACAGAACCCGAGCCCGAGTCTGTTGCGCTTTTGTTGCTCCCACGCACAAAGTCGACATCCAAAGACTTGCTGCCGGCGTAGTCCAGCAGCTGATTGAAGGACTCATCGTCGAGGTTCTTGATCTGTTTGCTTCCCTGGGCGACGCTAATCTCCCCGAAGCGGCCCTTCTTCCGCTCACGGGCTTCCTGCGCTGAAGGAACCCAAAGGCGCTCAGCGCCCAGTTTGCCCTCGGAATCACGACCTCCGTGATCTCGCCTGACATTGCCGTCCTTCATCTCAGTCCACCAATGTCGAGCACCTGTGGCCGTCAGCCGCTTGACCGTTTGAGCCCAGTTGAGGAACTCTGCTTCGGTCATAGGCACGTCTCCGTCGTGGTCTCCATCGTAGTCTCGTCGGCCATGCCTTTCAGTAAACTGAGACCAGTCGAAGAGCCGCTTCCGCGACCAACGTTCATTGATCGGGTTCTTTTCGCACCATTCTCGCATGCAGATCTGACAGCGCTGGTCATCAGCCATGATCTCTTTCACGACCTCCAGCTTGCCATCCTTCTTCGCCTGTGCCATGAGCGCTGCGTAGGCACGTTTGTGGCCGGCACACCACTTCTGGTTTCTCAGCCTCTCCAACTCACAATCAACCGCGAAGCATTGATTGTCTCTCTGACTTTGCAGCCTCGCCGACGGCTTCGGAGGTTCGTTTGTGCGGGGGTTCAAGACCCCGCCGCGAAGCTCCTCAGTCGGTCTTGGAGACTTGGCAGGCGAGTCCATCGAGAGGCTGGAAAGCTGAGTGTCACGAGACAGGCTGGTAGAACTGCCCTGCTGAAGCGAGCAAAACCTCTATGGATGCATCAAGAGGCAATTAATGCCTGACAGCCACATTCTCAGGTGCAAGGGCAACACACACACACACGGCCTGTCTGTCAGAAAGTGACCAACTACAATAACTATAACTTCACTGCAAATGGCTGATCCAACCCTCTGCTAGCTGTCAGCTCAGCAGCAGTCTCTCACAAGCCACTCTGATTTCGCAGAACAACAAGGTTTCAGAGGCCTACCGAAAGACTTTGCTACAGCTGTCAGTACTGCGCAACTAGCACCGCCAGCAATGGGTCGGTCCTGTGGGTCCAATCGCAAAACGATCACATGGTGAGTCTCCAGCAGTGGATCTTGGATCTTCTCGCGGGCTGGAAACTCCACGACATTCTCGAAGAGGAACATATCCTCACAACCGTCCAAAGCCCACTGCCGACGTTCAGCGAGCCACACCTGGAAAGCTCGTTCTGAAATATGCCCGCCTGCCTGACGCAGGCCTACCTTCGACCAGGCGACACATGGAAGGCCACCTGCTGACATCACAAATGACTCTGGGCGGTCCTCGGAAGCTCCTGTCTCGACCAAAGTTGAGGGCGCTCCGCCCCCCCGCACTGGCCGAACGAGACACTGCTGATCATGCACGAGGCAGTGAGCCCGCGCATCACGCGGAAAAGCCTCGGCCGGCCTCTCTTCTAGTTCCTTTGCCAACTTTTCAAAATCTGCCGCTGTCAGCCCGCCCGACTGCCTAGCCTTGGCCTTGGACTTTGGGACGGGAGATTGCAAGATTTCAGAACAGAAGTCTCCTGGCACGCGAGACTCTATCGAAGTGAACACACAAGGAGAGCATCCAGTTTGCAGCTCCTGCAACTCTGCTAGCATGACAAGGAAGTTCTGTTGCTCTTTGCCCGAATCGCAGAAGGAAGTCTTGGTAACCCAGGACTCGGGGCTTCCTGGGTCTGCTTTCTTCCACGCTGCCTGAATCAATCGCAAGGCCTCGCCAGCGGCATCAATGCCGCTGCAAACACTCATGAATTTCAAGCCAGAAAGCCGCATGGCTTCCAGGTGAGCCCGTCTCTCGTAGTCCTCCATGCATGTCTTCATCAAGTGATCCGGATACCCCAAGACTTGCTCTGCGGAGGTCTGAACCCTGTCCATGGCGGATCAAGCACGGGCGCTTGCAAGGACACTGTGTTCCCCGCTCGGCTTCGGTTGCAATCGTGCCGCCCTTTACAGAGTGACAGTGTTGACTCTACGTGTAGCAGTCTGCAGTGTTCGACAAACACCGTGCCATGCCGTCTCTTCTGCTATTCTTATAACAACACGTACACCACCAAAAGAGCAGCTTGCACGCCTCCGGACATATTCACCTCTGCAGCTTCTGACTGAGGAAGAGACAGAGACAGAGAGAGGAACGAGAGAGCGAGAGAACTATGTGTGTGGCTGTGTCTGTGTGCATGTGTATGACAGTACATCAGGTCGGTATTTCCAAGGGTATCCGAAACCATGAGCCGGCTCCTAGTACCCAACTTAATAGAAAAATGCATTTTCGCCTTAGGTTGGGTCTTAAGAGGGGTTCAAATACCTGAAAACCTGCTTAAACGGACCTTGGCGGACCCTCATATGCATGTGTGTGTGTGTACAAACTCACGCGCTGAACTCCCGACCCCGGTCCTAATGCAGCAGCATCATGGCAGCATCACCAGGAAAGCTGTAAAATCCCTCGCCCCTCGCACGCGACAGACGGGTTCACACGCCCTTGGGAAGCTACTGGCAGCTACTGAACTGTTTACTGACGCCAGCTTCGTGCTACAATACACAAACAAAGCAACGCCCTAAATGACGGCCTCGCTGCCTTGTACTTATACTTTTCTGATCTCAGCTTGGTGCTCCCCTCTACCCGAGACTCTACCCTATAACGACCCAACATCTGATTTGAATGCACTCAAACCACTTCGGAGGGGTCACCAAGACAGAAGGCGCGCGCGCGCGCGCACCTGGTGCTGGAGGACAGACCAGGCGCGTGCCTGGTGCGGGGGAGGGGGCGAGAAGGCGAGAAGCGAGAGCCCGATTTCCGAGATGCAACCCTGCAAGCTTCACCGACCATCCTTTCTCATATTTGGCAAAGAGAAGGCAGGCGACAAACGAAGCCGAGCAACTTTTCCAAAAGTGCGTTCGTGCTCGAAAGTGCTCCGATTTAGCTCTGAAACAATGAAATGAACCAAACATGTAGCTCAACAAGCACTTCGGCTGAATGCAAGCACTTTGCTCTCTGAAACATCATTTTGCAGACTCAGACCGACTTAGAGGAGCAACAGAAGGACCTTCGGACGCAAGGCCGGAGAGGCACCGGGCGAACCGGAGGAGAACCGGAGGAGAACCGGAGGAACCGGAGGAGAACCGGAGGAGAACCGGAGGAGAACCGGAGGAACCGGAGGAGAACCGGAGGAGAACCGGAGGAGAACCGGAGGAATTGGAGGAGAACCGGAGGAGAACCGGAGGAGAACCGGAGGAGAACCGGAGGAGAACCGGAGGGTCGCCGGAAACGAACGCCAGTGCCCTTGGCAGCTGAAAACAAGCTGCAGCAAAGCAAAAAAACTCCAGAACCTGCAAACGCACAAGAACTTGCCAAAACAGCTTCAAGAGCGCACTTTCGCGCAATACTGTTCTTTTGGAATAGTTGTACAGCAAAGTGGCCCCACAACTTAAAAATGCATAAGTTCCAAGACAATCAGGCCAGCCCACGCGCCGGCGCGACCCCCAGAGCCCTGTGGGCGGTGGGCTGTCGCTGAGGTGAGCCTGCATTGGATAGGCCAGCCAAGGGACTGGCATCGTCATGTTTGGATTTTGGAGAGCAGATCTGCTGAAACTCCAACCCCCCCTTGAGGCTCTGGATTTCGGAGGGTTGGAAAGTAGGATGTTATCTCATTTGTTTGGTTTGAGGGGAGATGAGCATCAGCCGGGTTTGGGGGGAGGGAGAAACGAGAGGTTATGTCGTATGAGTTGGTTTGAGGGGAGGGCATCATGAGCAGCAGCCGGGGTTTGGGGGGAGGGTGGGTGGCGGGTGATGTATATAGACATGTACATGGCACTCTTCGCATCTTGACATGTCACTGCCTCACGACAAAAGCGATTAGCGATACTGCTGCCACAATGACACAACGGCACAATTTTTGCTCTGTTTCGGGACTTCGGGGCGGCACGTGACATGTGAAACTTCGTGCGCTGCAGCACAGGCATATACTGCTTACTGCAATCAATACCCGAATGCGGTTGCTTCCAGATCGTCGTCATCAGGCTCATCGCCGTCCCATGTATACGGGCAAACACGCACATGCTCGTCTTTGTTTCTGTACAAGGATGCCTGGAGAAGCCACCACTTGAGCTTCTTCAAAGTCAGATCACGTCCTCCATGTCGATCAAACTTCAACGTACGTCTGCATTTTTGAAGCTCGTGCTCGGGGTGCCTGCAGGAGGCCTCAAGACCGTGGGCCGGCTGGCCTACGCCGGAACGCTTTTCTGTGATTCTGCAGCCTCGCCAAAACATCGTGCTGGGAAGTAGAACCCCAACACCGCCTCGAGGAGGTTGCTTCGCTCTTGCTTTGGGCTTTGCTTCGGCCACGGCACCGGCAACTGCCACCCCCGCTGCAGGCCGCACCTCCTGACTAGAAGAAGATGAAGATGACGACGATGAGGAATTGCTGCTTTCCCCTGTGCTGGAACTAGAAGACGACTCACTGCTTCCGGAGCTGGAACCGCTGCCAGCACTGCCAGGCTCAGAAGCAGCATCACTCAAGACAGCTCCGTTGTCACTGTCAATCTCTGCAAGAAGCGCTTGTACTTGCTCCTCCATGCTCAAAGCTTGAAACTCAGCATCGTCATCATCATCGCCATCACCATCACGGTCATGCGGCATGACTTGGACTTCTGCAGAGCTACGCAACCCAGATCCAGACAGCTCAACAACTGCCTGGTCTGCCTGGCTGCCTGGTCCTGAGTCGCCCTGAGCAGCTCTGCGGCGCCTGGCACGCTTGGGCCTCGGAGCCACCTCAGCATCTAGCCAATCGTCCCCATCTTGCAATGGCCGGAAATTTCGAGTGGCCTTTTCCTGCCGCAATGCAAGCGGCAGTGCCTCCAAGCCACTGAGGATCCTGCTATATTGAGCATTGCTGCTCCCATGCGGCACTGCCAGCCCGTGTTGGTCTGCAAGTGTCAAAGCCAAAAGGTAGTGTCGGCTACAGACAATGTTCTGGTTTTTTTCTGATTGCTGTAAATAGAGGATCTTGTCACCTTCTCCGTGCACAAAGCTTGGGGCTTCGCGGCAGACACGGCCACTCGCCAAGCGCAAAACCCAACCAGAATCTAACAACCCTTGCAAAAGTTGCCAACGGCTTCGCTCCTGCACCGGGCCATCGCCGACACTGAGGAGTGATTCAGGCTGAGATACTCGGGTGGCCACAACAAGAAGTTCCTGACCACGATCAGTAAGCTGAATGGGCATGTCTGCTGTTAACAGTCCGCATTGTTGCAGAGATTCCAAGAGCTCCTTTTCGCCGGAAGAAAACCTGGAAACGTCGGGCAACCCAGCTCGGCCCCGGGCACATATCTGCTTTAAGACACCATGCAGCAAGGAGGCGTCTGCAGACTCGCCGACACGCAGCAGCTCAGGGCACGGACGGAACAAGTAGCGAGACTCTGGATCTGACTGCAAGACTGACATTAACTTCAACTGCGGCAAAGTTGCAGAGCGTAAAGAGATGACACACGGGACGTCAGCCACAGACATTCCAGGCACAGTGGAGCGCAAACTCATGAGCTCTGAATCTAGGTACACTTCTCTTGCTTCCAAGTCTGCTTGCACCGGCCTCATCATTGCGATTGGCAGGTCTGTGGCATCAAAACGATGCTCACCTGAGGCCTGGAAACGCTTCATGCGATGCATGGATGGCAACAGTTTGAAGAAAATCATCTGCACATGCTGGCTCCCTGGCATCATCCGAGCTGACTGGAAGAAGACATCAACATCCGTCACAGAAGGTCTGCTGCTACTTTGCACGAGACTGCCTAAAAATTCTTCTTCTTGCACTCTGGTCACAACGGGAAGATGACTTTGGCTTGGCAGCACATGTTCGCGGAGCAAGGAAAAGGCGGCTCTGTCATAAGGCAACGCAAAGACCAATGAACTCAATGAACCGGCTCCCTCTTTACCGCTGTTCAGAATGTCCTCCACTCGGGCACGCAGGTGCTCGAGGCTGAGTTGGTGGACCAGTTGCCCAGCTCGAGAATCAGCCAACACCTCAGCGGGAAGAGCAGCTCGGGGCGGACGGGTGTTGTTGTCTCTAACAAAAACATCTGGCATTGGCTGATGAAGACTGGCGGTGTCTGCACGGTAGATTGCATCACGAACAACAGGGTCGCGGTAATTCTCGGACCCATTGACAATGGCTGGGTGCCTGTTTAGACTCACGGCCTGGGCAGCCTTCCTATATGAGCGGCATTGAAACACGCAAGGGGCTAGCCTGGACACAAACTCCTTCGGATCCTTGCACATCTGTTCGCTGATCTCCTTGCCCCGCAGCTGCAAGGACATGTACGCCGGGCTATGGCGCGGACTCTTCTTGGAGCCTTTCTGGGTCCGAGCATGTTGAGACTCGACCCTGCGCTCTGCAATCGGTATGAGAGCAAGGCAAGAAATCGCCTCGGCAAACTCGGGACAGGAATCCAAGTCAGCACCACAGTACCAATTGTCGCCCTCACGCAGCACTTCTGGTCTGACCAACTGCGGCAACTGTCTGCGAAGCGAAGCCGCCTCGACTGAATCTGTGTCCAGCCTTGCGCGAAAAGCACTCCACACCTCACGAGCCCGCTCCTGATCGTGATACGCCAACCCTGCTGCAGACCAGGGCTGGCTACGAAAGTGTGCTGTCTTCAACATCAACACCATGGTGAGATATGCCCTGCCATGCTCAAATTCTCTGACGAGGGCCGCTTGCTGAGACTCCGAAAGGTCTGCAGGGAATTGTCGCAGAAAGTTCGCACCTGAGTGAGAGGAGAAGGAACTCAGCTCCTTGAGGAAGTCTCCCTGGGAGACTTCGGGCGCTCGCCTAGTGCGCATGGGGCATTGCTCCAGGAGATGCTTGTCTGATCTGCTGAGCAACTGAGCTGAAGCACCCGTCAACAGGTGCCAGTGGCAGGGACAGCTCTCTACCCAGTGAATCAGATGCAACACGATCGCTGAAAAAGTTTTCAACATGATTAAGTAGCTCTCAAACCATGGACATTGCACCAACTTGTCGACTGCCTCCACATTCACACCTCGCGATTGCATGGATGAGCCTGCCAGGTATGCCTGCTTGCTCCACCCTAAACGAAGTGCTGGGAGAACATGGTGCAGCTCGATGGCACACCGAGCCACTGTGCCCCATCGTGGTCGATAGCACTCGGCATTGAAAGCCTCAATCTTGCTTCGAACTTCAGACTGACCCGCAGGGCCGCTGGAAAAACATTTTGCAATGAGTCGCTCCTTGCAATCCCGACTGCGGAGAAAACTTGAGAGAGCCCCCATGTCGTCAACAATTTGGTCATAATGTTCCATGCAAGACCCTAAATCGTTGGAGGCATTATGGATAATGTGGAGAAGCCCTGCAATACCACGACATGATTGCAAGCACACTTCAAGGTCTGCTGGCTCCGACTCCTCCTGCTCTGCATCAAAGCAGTGTTCCGCCTCGTCCCGGAAAGGATCCACATCCAAAGACTCTTCTGCTTGCATTCGAAAAGGCTGGTCCTGCAGCATCAAGCAGCAACAAGGATTTATCGCTGCAAAGGAAAACCCAGCTATGCTTCGGGGCGGTCATGTGGGTTTGCTTAGGCTTCGGAACTTCATGGCTGACGCAATCGGCAACAGAGTCCCAGAAATTGCCTGAACAGCTCACGCTAGCCTAAGAATGCACCTGGCAGGCGAAAGCACGACAAAGACCGAGAGGTATGGGACAAAACAGTCCTCACCAACGGCAGCTTCTGTGGGAGCAGGGCCGAAAAATGGCAACACAGCTGACAATGCTACCGGCTCCAGCTTGGTAAGCAAGCTCTCCACGCCCAAGTCTGTCGTGATGCTAAGAAGAGATGACAGCACTTTCTGCAATGTAGCGAAATCACCGCTGATGAGTAGCAGCGATTGCAAGAATGCAGACAAGCGATGGGCAGCATTTCCGGCTCGTCCACCCAATGTTGTGGGGGGCGGAATCATTTGAACAATCTTCCCACGCAGTATACTCATGATCCATTTGTCACCTGGAAGAACGTGATCCCGCCTCGGCAGGCAAATTTTCAACACAGTTACTGAAACATGGTCCTACGAACGACACAAAATCCTATCCACCTCTATGTAATCTCAGATAACCTATGGATCTGAACATGACTGCCAAAGATGCTCCTTACTTGACTGCCAGAGAACCGTCGCCAAGCATCAACCTCTCGCAGAATGTGCCGAGCATCAGCTGCCGCCACGATGTCAAGCACTGTTATCTCGTAGTCACGACCGCCTTGCGGGGAAGAATCTGCCATGGCGAAGATGCAGCAGCCCTGCAGCAGCTTCTCTGTCAGCAATTCTTGTTGCAACCTTGCAAAGCCAATATCCAGAGCTGCTCGTCGCTGCGCCATTATCGGCGCCGAAGGCAAATATTTCTTGGGATCTTGGGATATCCTGTCAATCCAGGCCGTGGCAAGGTTCTGTGGAAGCAGCAGGCATGCAGCCATTTTCAACGCGTCGCCAACATTCGAATCATTGCTCAGGAACATCGCGAACAGCATTGTTTCCACAAGGTGGCCGATACGAAAAGCAAGGCTCGGCTCTCCGGCAACATACGCATGCCGCCTCCCACTCAACAGCAAACTTTCACAATGCTGGAACCGAAGGCCAGCGACAAAGTCTTGCCACGTCGACGGATCCACGCATTCCCCTCGACCATTTCCCAAACTGACTAAGCAGTCAGCCAAGTCCCAGACTTTCTTGCTGTCATGCACGACATCCAGGCCCTGCTTGGACAAAGAAGCACCGTGACCAGCTCCAGATGCATCAGGCAAGTCTCTTCGTCTCGGCCCAAACTTGCGCAAGGCTGGCCAAGCACGCTCATGCTTGTGACCGGCCCCAACCAGGCCAGATCCGAATTTCCTGCCACCGTCGGTGCCGTAGGGGTCGTAGTTCCACTTACAGCTCAAATCGGGCACTGCAACGGTGAACCATTGTTTTCGCATGAACATTATCGCATAGGGCAGCGGCAATCGCAAAACTCGATCGCACTGTTCGCACCCATTGACGAAAGCAGGATGGTGCTGCGCAGGCAGCTCTCTCCGCAACCTTGCTTCCTGCCCATCTTCCAGAGTGGTGAAAAACGAGCCCCCTTTGCGGCCAGAAATTGTGTTCCACACCGCAGGAGTTCGCAACTCCAGCGCTTCCACAACATCGAAGATCAAAGCACTGTTATCCAGTGCACGACCGGCAAGCACAGTCCAGTGACTCAGCTGGACACGAACCGCATCGCCCAAGCTGCCTGAAGTTTTATGCTGGTACCGCTCTCTGGGTCTTAAAGCAAGTGCACCAACAATGTAGCAATCGTTGGATGGCAACCTGTTGTACGCTGCTCCTCTGCAAGCTTCTTCAAAAGCAGGCTTCAGCTCGTCTGTCAAACAAAGATCATCAGATGCATGGCTTAGCTTGCTGCTTGCCCTGCGTGTCTTCTGAAGCAAAGACCTTGACCAAAGAGTTCCAAGCCAGACACAGCGAACATCTGCTGAAAACGACTCGTCACCATCCATGAAACTTCGCCAAAGCGAAAGTTGTCACATGACTCATGACTCTAAAGAATTACCGACTACCTTTGACAACATGTGATCTTCACACTAAACCCTAAACCCTAAAGTCTTTGGGAGGGTTGAGGCCTGGGACCCTGGGATCTACCTTTCTTATGAACTTAGCTTCTTGAAAACAGAGACAATGGAGTTAAGGTACGGACTACACTGCACGAACGCACATGAGGACTCCCCGACTCAACTGAAGCCAGCTGCAGTCCGCAAACACTGGTACTCGAAGCCCGCAAGCCCGAAGCTGAAGGCAAACCAAAATCTGCAAGCAAATCCTCGTCGTCGCTGTCGTCGTCGTCAGCAAAAACTGACTAAGACTAGAATTACTAGAATCTGTTGACCACAGCAGCAGCAGAAGCTGAAGAAGCAGCAGCACCGGCAAGAGCAGCAGAGCAGCAGTCATGAGTCATGAAAGTAAGTCATAATTCATAATGGTTAGTAATAATAGCCACTACCACTACTACCACTACTACTATGACGACGACTACTACTACCCAATGCCTTAATCTTGGCTCTCTCGCTCTCTCGCTCTCTCCTGTCTTCTTTTTTTCCTGCACACGGAAGCGTAAGATGACGATGCTCACTCGCCTGATGCTGATGATGCTCAAGACTCAAGATCCCCCGACTCCCGACCCACCCCGCCGCCCACCCAGCCCCATCCCATCAAGCCCGTCGCGGGGAGTCGTGGGGTCGTGGGGGCATTCGTGGAGTGCAGTCTGGCAGGCTGGCAGTGACTGCTTTTCCTGCTTTGCTTTAATGATCTTCGACTTGCTGAAGCCTCTTCTCACCAATTTCCCACGGAAAAGCCGTGGCCGGCTTAACCCCAAAACCACAACTGCAACTGTTAATTTACTAACATGCACAAGAACGACAGACCACAGACCCGTTTTGACAAACCATACAAGATTCGGGCCTTTGCAAGTAGAGTTGGGTTTTGGTGCGAATTCTGCTGTCGCTAAACCCCTAAACCCCAAACCCTAAACCCTGAACCCCAAACGCTAAACCCTAAACCCCGATAGCAAGGGAGCGCTCTTTAGGCGGAGAAGCTGGGCCTTCGAAGCAGAGAACAAGCCCTGCCTTCGCGTCAATCAAGTTCTTCTCCTTTTTCAGCCTTCAGGACGTTATGGTCGTCTTTAGGGTTTAGGGGTTTAGGGCGTTTAGGGTTTGGGAGTTTAGGATTTAGGGTTTACATGCTTGGGGCTTGGGTTTGGGATTTGGAATCCACAGGTCAGGTTACCGGTTTAGTAGCTGAACGTACAAAGTTAAGTCTCTGGTGTTTAGGGCGCATGCATCGATGCATCAATATCCCCTCAAAGCAGCTGAGGATGGTATAGAGGGCGGTGATAAAGATGTGGGACCTTCCGAAAATTAGGGTACCTTATTTTGGGGCCCTTGTAATAAGGATCCTATTATTTAGGGTACTATCTTAGTGTCCCCTATTCTAGAATGACATCCGCTGTGGAGTTCAGACTTCAGAGCCCTGGGAGGCACGGATGATCCTCGAAAATGCACGGTTTAAGGCGTATCAGTAGCCAGCCTGTCGACGTGATAGTCCTTGCGCTTGACGTAGTACCTGAGTGCTCTTGCAAAAACAACCTTGTGAGTTTCTAAATTGGTGGGCTAGGGGCTCAGGTGTGTCCTGTTTCAGGCTTTCGGGCTCAATGCTTGCAGCTGATTATACCTTGCAGGGCTTAGGCAGTGTTCCATGCCTCGCTTTCAACGCCATATGATGTTGGCTGCTTAGGCTTTTGCCATTGCAGGTATCAGTCGCCTCTGTGTTTTGGCTACAGTCTTTGTGGTGATAATACGGTTGATGATATAAATCTGAACTAACCATAATAATCAAGGAATATGCAAGGTACTGCAGGAGTTTTATCATCAACGGTATTATTGCCGTTGCTGCCTGCCCGTGCGGCTTGACTCTACACAGTACACGGCCCTAATGTAGGGGCCTTAATAATTAGACTAGGGTGTTGGGGTCCATTATACTATAATTATAATAAGGAGCCCCCAAAAGTATTGGTAATGATTTAACCCTAAGGGTCCAAAGGACCTAATAATCATGTACTTGGGTTACGGATAGTAGTTTTGTAGGTTAGTATTCAGAAGAGTAGATGATTATTAGGCACTTGGGCCCTTAGGGTTAGGTGGAGTTATAAGTAGGGTAACTATAGTTATAACCCATATTAGGGGATGTATAAGCCTACTTATAAGTACCCATGAACCTCCAAGTATTAGGTACTTGGACCCTTAGGGTAAGCCCCTAAAGTACACCCAGCTGTGCAAGCAGAGCATCGCGTCTCACGGCTTTGAGCTTGGCTCGCAACCCCGGGGCCCCAGCATTGCTACGGGGAACCGCAAAGCAATTTAGGGTTTAGGGCTTAGGTGTTTAGGGGTTTAGGGGTTTAGGGCTTAGGGTTTAGGGGTTTAGGGTTTAGGGTTTAGGGGTTTAGGGTTTAGGGTTTAGGGAAGGCAATTTAGGGTTCAGGGTTTAGGGTTTAGGGTTTAGGGGTTTAGGGCTTAGGGTTTAGGGGTTTAGGGCTTCGGGCAACAGACACGAGATCCAACGTAAGATCCGCGCTTGAGCCGCAGCTGGAAGAACTCCTGGACCAGCTCCTGTTGAAACAGAGGCCAAGGTTCTTTTTTTTGTTCATGGTTCAGGGCTCCGAGGTCGGTTGTGCTTTCAGTTTTAGGTTTTTAGGGGGTTTCGGGCTTCTTCAGAAAGCAATGCTTAAGGATCGCGACCGTAGCTTAAACTCCCCGAAACCCTACATCCTAAATCAAGCCCTAAGCCCCAGGTGACCACAATTCGAGACTGGAGGAGGCAACTCCTTCGAGTAGTCCTTCTTCCAGGGTTTAGGGTTTGTGGAGTTACGGGTTTAATATGGGGGCCTAAATAATTACCAATACTATTTTGTGGGGTTCCTTATCGTATGCATAGTATAATGGGCCCCAAAACCTTATTCAAGTCATTAAGGCCCCCATATAAGGGTTTTCAGTTTCCGGCTTTTCCCTGCACAAGAGATCTCAAGCACAATCCTAATTTTGACATCCTGAATCATCAACGAGCCCCACAAAGCGACTTCTGCTGTGGATCGAGAAAGCCCGAAAACTTCGAAAAGCAAGCCGAACCTGTTAAAAGAAGCCCGACACCAACATACCCTTCTCACGCAGAAGACTTCAGGGGCTATGGGTTTAGGGTCTAGGGCCTAGGGGTTTAGGGTTTATATAGGTTTGGGGTTTGGGGTTTAGGGTTTAGGGTTTAGGGGTTTAGGGTTTAGGCTTTAGGGGTTTAGGTGGTTCAGGGGGTTTAGGGGTTAGGGGTTTAGGGGTTTAGGGGTTGAGGGCTCAGGGCATGCGGATGCATGGCTTAGGGTCTGAAGGTTT